TCTGGCCCACCCTTATATTTAGTGCGTATGTCATGTAGTTGGTCCCAAGTCCCAAGTTCACTAGTCTTGCAAGAGTGAAATTAACCTGGTGATAAACTTTGGGCAGAAGTCAGGGCCCAGTCTCTCCAGACCCCCAACTAAGCCAGGTTGTGGGTGAAGGGGGCTCCTCCTGGTAATATCTGGTTGAGCTATTATTCAGGGGTTTCTTATTGTACTATTCACCTTTTGGAATGCATTTTGTTTCATAAAATGCTATAATAGGGAGACTTGGGCTTTGAGATTGGTTTGGCTTTTTGCTATGCCAAAGTGAATTAAGCAGTTGGATGGCAAGCATACCTCTGGAAACCAAAGATAAATGCTCATTTTAATGGAATGGTTTATCCTTTTCTCTCCACTTAGTAAGTATGGACTGACTCCACATTCAATCTGAGGATCATATCAAAAGCAGGAACTTTAAAAAAGGACAGTTTAGGGTTTAGCTTACGATTTTCTACTGAACTTTTTGTCAAGGCCAAAGATTTTTTTTAATTTTAAGTTTCTATCATTTCATAGTAATAAAAGAGCAAGATAATTTTCCATACTGTACATACTCCTAACAGAGCAGGTATATACATGTGTTGTTACATGTGAAAGTTGACGTTGTGAGAAGCATTTCTCAGCAATATTTATCTTGATTATATACAGGAAATCCATTGTCACAGCTGAAGACTGAATTGGCTTGAGGGGCTCAAATGCTTGATATTTCACTGTAATTGATTGTGAACTCCTGTCAGTAAGGAGGCCAACTTTCAGAGCTTAGCCTCTAAGCATTTATATGTCTTCCTAATTCCACTACAAAATGGGAACCAGATAAGATCATGAGTGTTCTGCTTGCTGGTGTTTCTTGCTCACTAGTGTTTATGATAATGGATTTTCAGTTGTACTGGATACTATAGATTCTCATTTTAAAACAAATGACCAAAAAAATCCTGCAAAAAATAAAAGTATGCCAATCAATAGCAGCTCACTTAGGGGCAAGGTGGCCACAACAAGTTTTCACCTTTTCTGCATTATAGCATTTTTTTAAAAAGAATACCATTGGCTTCCTCTTGCTGTAATGGGTTTACTATGTGTGCAATGACCTTTGGTTTTTCACCTAGATGCCATTCATCTTTTCTGAAGGCTACTTTTAAAATGCATCAAATTTCCTCTTGACCTTTTGACTTAGAATTGGTTTCATTTAATAGGATAAGTTGATTGCACTTTGGAAAAGAAAATTAAATTGTTATTAGGTTATTGGTAAAATAGTTCGTAGCAATGATGAATTACCCTATTCTCTTGACCTAAATGTGTTTCCAAGTGATGAGAGCCCTCCACACAGTTGTCACTGCAAGAGTAATGAATGTAACAAAAATTCACTTCGTAGCAATGTTTGGTGTAATTGCTGACATGGTAATATAATTACTACGTAGTGTTCTGGTGGTCCTTGCTTGGGAGTTGAAATAGCCACAAGGAGGCTTGAAATGTAGCAATTCTTTATTGATAGGAAGAGAGAAGGAGAACGAGATCATTTTTTCCACAGTCTTGGAACTATATCCAGGTGGAATAGAACCTGCGCTCTTTTCAGAGTGCTTCACCATGTTTAAAAAACAATTGGCTTGTCTCAAAAGTGTATCAGTCCTTTCTCATCACTCCTAAAATATATATTCAAAGCATCTCCTTTCATATCCTACCCTGCAGCATTTTCATACTTCTGTGAGATGTTTTTTATTCTTAGATCTGCTTGTCAGGGAAGCTGAGGAAGTGCGATAGGAACCAGGGAGGCTTCGAACCTAGTCCACAGAGGTGGTGGTGATGTTGGGAGCCACAGAGGCTCTGAATTCCGCTGCAGGTGGCAGTGCCCTGGGAGCACCCACTCAGGGTTGCATCCCTCTGACTCAGCAGTGAGTGGCACCATTTTTGTCTTTACTGAAGCTTTTGATTTTATTTACCCTTCTTCATTCCTACCCTCTTATTTATTGACTTTGTCTGTCCCTGTCTTGGTTTTGGCACTCTTTGGCGGCTCCTTCCTCGACCTCCCAAAGCTAGACAGGCCTATATCACCCTGTTCCACTGCTGTCCTCTTCTTAAATCTTGGTACCACTTCCTGAGTTTAACCTTATCCTGTCTCAAACACTACAAGGTGAAAGCGACACCACGGGTTTTAGACTCAGACACAAGGGATCTTGTATTCTGGCTGCATTACTTGTCAGCTGTGGCTTAGGACCATCTACTTAATCTGTCTGTGCTTTGGTTTTTGCATCCATATCAAAGAGATATGATAATTATCACATGGAATTGGTACATAACTTGCTAGGATATGGGCAGAGTCTGGACTGTAGTAGTATCAAATTAGATGCTGGTTCTCATATCTTCAGGGAAAAAAATGACCATAATTTTATTGACACATCTTTCACTGAGTAACTCCCCACTATTTATCTTGTAGCCCATACCTGCTTTTGTTTGGGTTTTCAACAATGGCTCCACAGCAATAAATACAGGTTCTTCAAACGCACGGAGGGGCAAAGAATTGGGAGGAAGATCCCCAGAAAGGGAAACAACCAAATGTGGACTTTCCATTTCTGTTGATTTTAACATACATAGAACATTTTCAGAAGAGATTTTAAGAAAGAACTAGCTACTCTTCCCTCCCCTCATAAGCTGCATAATTGCCTAACCAGACAAGATTACATGGAGATAAAGGATGGTGGTGTGTTTAAACCAAAGAACTCAAGAATCCTTGTATTGTGCTCTTCCCATGAGGTTCCTAAAAGAGATACTTGTAGCAAGGACACTGACAAAGCAAGACAAAGTAAAACCTATTAATAGTGAAGGTTTTAGTACCCCATCCCAGGGCAGAGCTCTGGCACTCTAAGCTGGTAACAGTGACAGGTCCCTTTACCAGGAGTGAGGTTGATTTGAATGGCCTAGAAGCAAAGTGCTCCGTTAGGCAGGACTCACTCTGTTAAGCCTACACCAAGGTCAGACAGTAACACTGCCATGTAGAGGGGAAGACTGGTCCAGAGCACCCATCAATGAGAGGAAAAGCACCCAGGGAGGACTTCTCATAGTACCAAGTACTACCCTGGGGTGACCCACCCATCTGAGGTCCTGGACAGAACCAGAAACATAGAATTAAACTGCTCCAGGGAGACAGGTGATGGAAAGAAGGAATGAAAGAAGAGGCAGAGAAGAGGGGCGCAAGCATGTGGATGCTGGCCTAGCAGACTTGCACCTAGAAAGGTCCACTCAAAGAGCTGGGCAAATGAAAATCACGAAATGAGTCCACTAATAAACCTCAGAGGTGTGTAAAAGTATCTCATATGACATATTCTTAATGATAAGTAATGTCCATCTGTATATCTTGATGCGTATCAGGGAGGAGTCAAATGTGTGCTAGTTGGGCTGGGCTTGGGAAGGAGGCTGAGAATCTTAGATATTGGATACTGAAACATTGCTTAGATAGTCTCCCTTTCTGGTTCCTACCACCCCTCAGATTCCCACACTACTAACACATTTTCTTCCCTCATCTAAAACCTCCAATGGGCCCACAATGTTCTCAAGGTAAAGTCCAGACTCCCAAACTGGTAGGTGCTCACTGGATTTTGCTATTTGGCCACTGTCTTGCCATCCTTGCCACTGCACCTGAATTGCTTTTCTGGTAGATACTCCCCTCACTTTATCCTTGCAAATTCCCTTGAACTTGCCCTATTTTCTACCCGGAATGCCTTTGTGACTTACCTTGTTCTGGTCAGTTGGGCCTCCTGTGGAAAGCCATCCTATGACCCCCTTGTAGAACTTGTTCCCTTTTCTGGAGGCTCACAGTATTCTACGATACTGCATTTTACAGGGGTTGGTGCTATTTCAGGCTGTGTTCCCATCAGTATGTGAACTGAAAGTCCTAGAAGGAAAAAATGTCTTATTTGTGTTTTCTCCTTTTGTATTTATATATTGCATTCGATTTATATGCATTGCAACAGATGCAGATTAAAAGCTCAAATAAAATTGCTGAATTGTTACTGTAGACATAATACGTCAAAATTGATTTGAATTCCAAAAGTAACTTTCTTAACAATAATATTTTGTCCTAAGATATCCAGCATATGATGCAAGGAGAATCTGAAGAATAGTTTCACATTTACTTGGGATAAGGGAACTTTTTGTAACTTAAGACAGAAAATATTTTATAATCAGTGCATAAACTAAGCAGCTGAGATTACGAGACGCCTTTTCACTTTATTCCTGGAATAATTTTGCAATTCATGATAGTCCTAATACTTGAGTGCAGCCCAGTGATCCTGAATTGATATTTGTTCCTCATTTCTGAAAGATGTTTTCAGTGGTTGATAGTATGAGTTCTGTTTTCAGAAATACCAAGTCCAAAAGGAACAGATGCCTCCTTAGAAAACCTTGGGTGTCATTGAATCATTTGTCTAAGAATGAAATGTAATGTGCTAAGTGTGACTGCTCTTCTTCTCATTCATGGTGTCTTTTCCTGGCTAATTCGTAGTTGGAATATTTGCTTAGGAAATGCTGATGTTTGTGAAGAAGAGGAGTTGTGAACTGTTACCATCATCTCTTGATGACCTTCACTGAGAAGTTGGGGCCTTGCAAATATCAGCCAAATAATTCCTATGCTACTAAATAGAAAACTAGCAGTCATAAGCCCACAACTGAAAAGTATTTTGCCTACCCTGTGTATATACATATGTATCAAAACAGCCCTCTATCTGCAAACTGAAACAGGAATCAGACCAGTGCTTCAGGGATGTCCACCAGAACTCCAGTCATCTCTCTGCCGGTTTTGATGGAAACCCACAGAGAGATGTTTTCGCAAATGTATTCATAATTTTTCTTCCTTGCAGGGCTCTCTTTCCATAATTCTGTGTCCCATCAGGGACTCAGTTAATGTATCAGCAATCTACTGTGATTGATGGCAAGCAATGTCGTCTTAACATTTTCCCCTTCTCTTTAATCCACAGAGCAATGCTAACATGACCTTTGGTTTAAAGAATTAAAAGGAAGAACCACTTCTTCAGATAAGAAGGTCTTCTGCAAGGTAGGATCTGCCTTCTTCAATTGTTTTAGTTTTCAAGGGAATTACAACATAAAATGTGATTGTGTAACATTAGTGCCATATTTAATACTTTTCAGAGAGTATGATAAAAGACAGGAAGGAAGAACACAGGTGCAAATACATTTATCATGTTAGTTGTCAAAAAGAATAGATAAAATATATAGAAAAGAAAACCAGTTCCCTGTCTTTTGTGGTAGAGAAAGGTGCCATTAATAAGAACATCATTTCTTTTGGATTTGATCATGCGTCAAAAATCTGAACACATAGCATCCTTTTTTTCCTCTTCTCTCACAGTGAAGCCCAAATGATGAAAAGGTCAGTTCTGAAAGTTCAAATATCACTTTGAAATGTGTTTTCTTCTTTGTGCATCTTTTCCCTGTGTCTTATTTCCCACTCTTCCCGCTCCCAGCCTCCCACTACCCACCCCACTCCATTTGTGTCATGTAGGATTATCAGCTCTAGAACAGACCCTGCTGGCCCATGGAGCCTTCTGAAAGGCCATCTGTTATAGTACTGCACTTGATGAAAAATATCTTAAATGGAGATCTGGAACACAGTTCAGAGAACTAGATCTCAGCCAGTGAGAGCTTTCTTAAGGGATTATAAGGGCTCCATTGTTCAGATGTTTTATACCTCACAGGTTTCATTAAGCAAATGAATTCTCATGGATTTTAATTAAGAAGACCATATGCAAGATTTTGAGGTAGTAAAATTCTTCTAGCATGCTGTTCGTTGTTCTTGAGAATTCTGAAGTTGCTCCACTGAGATGTCGTTTTGTAATGAAGAGGAAATGATTCATGCCTCCGCTGAATTTGCTACCATTGTGTTGTCTTGAAACTGATTTCAAATGACTAATTCTTAAGTGTTCCAAAATACCATCTAAAATTCCCAAAATCAGTGGCTTAAAAATGAATATTGCTTTGTAAGTCATATAACACACATTTTGTTTTGCTTGAAGAGTCCTTGAAAAATGAAAATTACTTAACACTATCAAAATTAATGAATTGGACAGTTATTAAAATACTAAAAACTGTAAGGTTGTATAAATGCTTATTTTAATAGAAACCCACCTTAGTTAATGAAAAATAACTTTATAAAATAAACGCAATTTTCTAAAACTTCTGGTGAGCTCCTTCCCTATAAGTATCCATGTTTTGGCAAACAAATAATTCCTGCATGGTAAACCAGTACAATATTAAACTCTACCCATTTGGACAGAACTGCAAAATATGTTTATACCAAGTTGCAACTGTTTGAAATAAGGAACTAATAGTAGCACTAGTGTTAGGTAGAGGGGCTTGCAGGTAACATGCTAATTACGTGGTAATAGCAAGTCTTTCTGTAGTTAAATGTGGTATGTTTCTTATGAGGGGCAGAAAGACAGCAAAGGTAGAAGCGTGCCTTTAGACTGTAGTCCCTAGTGAAAGGGGAAACACTGAAGACAAGTCAAGCTGAGGGACCATGAGGAAGAAATACTTGAAGGAAGTGGTGATAGGGTGCAGCCTTGCTGCTTTCTACTCCCTAAGACACCCGAGATGGTTCAAAGGGCATTTTCCTGGCAGGACACAGCATAGTCTTTCTTTCATTGTGTAAAAGGTAGTTGATTTTTAAAATTTCTGTCTTCTAGAGAAATAAGTGAAAAGACTGAATTGTATCTTTCTTAATGCATATTTCATGTTGATCTGTTTGGCTAACTTTTTAAGTGACTAGTGAGGACTTTCACTTTGGCAGGCTGTTAGAAACACTGAACTATCTCCTTTTGTTTTGTGAATGGTCTCATCTGGCTAAAACCAAATGCTGAGCTTCTTCCTCAGTTCTATCCCCTATCTCACAAAACTCCCTGAAACTCACCGAAATTCTAAAACACACTTGTATTCAGAATGTCCCCAGGCTATCAACCCATTGGCCTCTGACATTAGACTAAAACAGTTGGGGTGGGGTGGGGCAAGCTGTGCAGCTACTCAGTTTGTAGTTGACATTCCGACAATCACAGCTATGCTGTGGTGTCTGAAAGATACGAATGTGAGGAATTGTGGATGGTTTGGGTAGCCCACACCCAACACATCTCCTCTGGGAAGTGCTACCATAAAAAGTGTTGTCATTTGTCCTTGACTCTAAGGTGTCAGTCAGTTTTCTTCATGGAAAGTCTGCATCCTATCTCGTTTGAAAGCAAGACTGAAATGGTGGATTTCATTAACCTACCAGAGTAAGGAGCAGGGGCACGCCTTCAATTACACTCTAAAACTGGTTTTCAGCTATGCCTACGTTAGTGTAAGGTAGGTACTCAACCATACTGAGTCTGAAGAAGAATCCCATGCATCTTTTTTTTTAAAAAATATTTTATTTTATTTTTTATCTGCGCACGCCTTTAATCCCAGCACTCGGGAGGTAGAGGAAGGAGGATCTCTGTGAGTTCGAGGCTAGCCTGGTCTCCATAATGTCCAGGCCAGCTGTGGCTACGGAGAGACCCTCTCTCAAAAAAAAAAAAAAGAAGTACAACAGCACTATTTCTATCATCACCGTTACTACTCCTACAAAAAATAGGTAACTCAGAATATTATGCTATTTTTAGTAATAGCCAGTGTTCTCAAGAGAAACCAAATTAATAGGCTGTATAGAAAAATAGAGATTTGTTTTGAGACATTGGTTGACTT